CTGTGGCCTCTCCTCCTCCCAATCTCCTCCAAAGCCATCGTAGTCGGGGAAGGAAGGAGTCTTCCTCTGATTTCTCACATAACCCGTGTCCTGAGTGCAGCAGACAAAGGGTCGATTATCCGCGCCCATTCCACAGGCCGAGTTCTTGATGAAACTCTTCTCCAGATCGGTTAGTCTGGCCTTCTGCAACACCGCGTACAGTGTCTGACATTCATTAATGGGCACACAAAGTCCAGACCTTTGGTTGGGGTTCACGCATCTCGAATCTGCAGATGAGATAAATATATTACAATCTGGTTCTCCAGGGGATGCCCCGAGATGCACGCGCCTCTTCACTGACATTCTTGCGGTTGAAGCAGGTACTTTATTCTTCAGATTGATCATGACACACTCAAAGAAACATCAAGATAATCTCTTTCGCCTTGCACTTAATTATGAAATGAATGTCTTTTTGGTCTCAAATCATTAATTTGAATTGTAAAGATCATATGTATTTTGAGCTTAAATTTGAAACTCTTGTGTATCCATATTTGTTGTATCATAAATACTTGCTAACACAACTATTAACATTAAGTTAATAAATTCCGCTACTTTTCAACTTAATAATATATAATTACTTTACAGGAAAAAAATCCTTAAAACAAATAAAAACAATAATAATAGTAATCGTTGTTTGAAAAAATTGAAAGAAATCAATAAGATGTCTTGAAATAGGATTAATAAAATGTTAAATGACTTTTATATTTATTTTCAACTGAATCGCACATTCAGTGACATTATTTGATAATTGCCTGGGTAATTTTCCATACTAATTGGGTATTTTATCCTATTTTTCTAAATGCAATCACAACTTGACCACAATTACAAATCACTTGGCTTCGGGCACTGCCCACTTTGGATTTTGGCGCGTGCAATGTTCCCTGTTAACAGGTTCAACCGGCTCAATTAGAGGTGCACTTGTGCGTTTTCCCCTTGATTTTGGGGATTTTTCAATGGTCAGTGGACCGTTTAAGTCCACTTAACACTCACACTGGGATGTGGCCTCGTGGGCAATCAGAATGCAAAGAATAACCGCCGCGAACACTTTCATTTTTGCTTATATTTCCTTGTTTATTAAAAATCACTTTCGAGTTCTATGGTATCCAGCTGACCCGTTAAAACAGACTGTGAGATACCTGGAGTTGGTCCGAGCTTTTATAGCCGCAGCTTCTCGGCTTCGTGGACCGAGATCTCTCGATCGGTTCTCGATCAGCTCTATAGAGCGGGTTTATCAATAGAGCGTTACTGTTCTCCGCTCTGCGGTTAAATGTTTTAAATATAGTGGCTAGTATTATTACGTGGTGTATCTTAAAGATGCGTGTCACTCGGTGACACCGAAGGTTTTTAGTTCCAAAATATTATGCTCAAGACAATCTCTCTTTTTTGTTTTGGGTGCAACGAACTTAGGGAACCCAAGACCTCAAGTCAATGACGTTGACTAGGAATTCCTGTCCACGTCATAAAGTATTTGACAACTAGGAAGCGGTCTAATTCTACCAGTGTTACTCATGCAAAATATATGTTCTATATTTAATGGAATCGTTTTATATCACGACAAATTCAAGGGTATTTGTATCTAATTAGGTGTCTGTATCCCTTTAGGGGGTTTGCCCGTTTGTCATGCATCATCTCTCTGCAAGAGGCCTGTACTCTCGTAAATGATATATAGCAACTATATCATGCAAAATCCACCAGCGGAACAAACTCCGTCATTCCCCGGTTAGCCAGGTGATTTACCAGCTAACGAGGTTCTATCTACATATGTAAACCAGTTCCTAACGCGAAGAAGATTCTGAAAAATTTCCATAAGCGAACGAAAAAGAGAAAAATATGAAAACTTACAGAAAAAAGAATTATATTTCTAATCAATAAGGGAATTCCTAATTGACTAATGAAATTGGTTTTTAGCTAAACAAAAATGGTATAGGGAAAGTTATTAAAAATCATACCTTCTAATTGGTTTAGAGCGTGGAAATTGAGATACTATCATTAATAAACAAAATTTACAAGCTATATTGTGACTACCTGCTTGGCATGGCTAAAAATATGATTTTCAATCAAAAAACCCTTGAAAATATATAGTTATTAAAAATTTATCGTTTTTTTTTATTTTCTCTGTGTAGCTTGAAAATGAACTTTGAATTTGCTTAATGCGCACACAACCCAATGTTTCAGTGGCCTATCTTCCAATAACAATCTTTGTGGTATTTAACAGTCAGTTGGTGGCCGGAAATAACCACGGGATACATTTCGGACATTTGATACTTTTATCCATTTGATTTCGAAGGCTCAAAACCCACGGCAAACCCTTTCTTTAATTTCCTGAAATTTCCCTTTCGTTTTGCGGGTTGTTAACGGGATCAACATGTTACCGCAGAAAGGGTTGGGCTAGAAGAGTTGAAAGTTGAAAGGCAACACGCGGAAAATGTCAGCGGCAGATAAACGGGGTCTTTGTGTTCCGGAAAAACGAGCCCCGGGTCAGGAGGTCTCGTTTCGCGAGGTCTAATTAGGCGTGGAATATGTAAAAAACGCAGCTTCCTGCTGTTAAGTGAAGGAAAAAATTGAAAAAAGATTTCAACCTGACAGCGGTGGGATTCGAACCCACGCCCTTTCGGACTGGTGCCTAAAACCAGCGCCTTAGACCGCTCGGCCACGCTGCCGCAACGAGGCGCCATCTGCCATCTAGTCAACAAAAGGTTCTAGCAAGAACATTTCTTATTTTTCTAAATTTAGAACAATTCTATTTGAGTAATTGCTCACTGGTAATTGTGTTTGTAATTGCCTCACGCTATTCTAATTTTTCAACGCTAAATAGTACACTGTATTGCTAGGAAAGCATGGCGATGGCTTCATATATGTATATTCATTTTTGCTCGATGGTATTAATAAGTACTAGTTATTATGACGATAATCTTCAAATATATAAGAAAACATTAGTTAAACGTTAGACAGCTTTTTAAGGTCTAAAGACCCACAGACCATAACACGTTTGCCAAAGTGAGGGCAAGAAATGACACAATTAATAACAATCACTCTTTAGCAGCTTAATGATAAATTCTTTGTTTCTGCATTAAAAGCAATAAGCTAATGAGCAAAAAATATTTAAAATATTTCTAGGACTAAAAAATATACTATAATAATTTAAAAAAGAAATAGTCACAATATTATTATTTATTTTCGTAGCTTTGGCAATTTCACTTGGTATTAATGTTTTATAACTCAATCTATTTACATATGAGTAAGGTGAATAATATTTATTAACATAAAATTTAGTGTTTATCGCCTTTGGAAACGATACAGTAAACGCTAAAAAAAGGTAAACTCTTTATAAACTCCTACATAAAGTCTTAATAATTAGGAAAAATTATTTGAAATAAAAAAATTAGATTCTAATTTTTTGAAAATGTTAAAAAGAAATGAAATAGCTCTAATTAGATAACTTTTGAAGCTTCACTGTACCCTGTCTTAAGACAGATTAGTTTCCTTTCACCAAATTATTATTTTCCTCGGGTATGACAACTAATTCTAGCCATTAGAATTTCTTTAATCTTTATAAATGGATAAAAAAAGCAAAAAAAATCCTGTGACAGCGGTGGGATTCGAACCCACGCCCTTTCGGACTGGTGCCTAAAACCAGCGCCTTAGACCGCTCGGCCACGCTGCCTGTGTTCGGTTCTTGTCAAATGCGCAATTTGAAGATAGCGGCTGTTGAGCTCGAACACACTACGTTTGTTGGCATAATTTTGGGGTTGGTTTCTGGGCAGTGTTGCCGACGCTTGTTCAAAAATAGTAGTTAAAAAAGTAGTAGTAGTAGAAGGCAAATAAATATAGTCAATTTATGGGTGTTTTTGTTTAAGGTACAGCAAAAAATTATAAAGTAAATTGTCCCATGAAGAACCAAAAAATACTTCACCCCATACGGAAAAACCATTTACTATCCATTTGCGTACTTATTTTAGCGGTAGTAAAATTCCCAAAAAAAGGCAGTAACAAAGGCAAATACTTTACGAGCGACATTGCCATCGAAGCGATTCTAATTCATTGACAAACGCATTTTGATTTTGCGATAATGAGAGTTGGGGTTCCAATAGTGGTTCGGGACACGGACACCTTTGACACAAACTTCCCCTGCTTTCATTTATTTGAACCCCCTTTTGAGGTCATGAGGTTCCCTTACGATTTTAGCATTTCGCAAAGTTCGCAAAAGACGTAAAAAATATATCCTGTTGTTATTTTTGATTGCCCTTCTTATAGAAGGTATTGTGAATTTTGAATAAATTTCGAAACTTTTAGTTTAAGTTACATAAAGTAAGGATAAGTATTTTTTTGCTTAACACTATTCAAATTAATATTATCAAGTTTAAGTATAATTTCTCGTAAAATATATTATATTTTTTAGTATTATTTATTTAATTATATGTTATAAAGACTATCTGAATACTAAAAATAGTTTCAAATCACTTTGTATACCAAAAATATCTAAGTTTATATGCATGCCATAGAGATATTTTGTTTGTGGCTTGTAAAGGTAGTGTATTGGATATTCTTGTTGCATTTCCCTGCTCTTTCCTCGTTTTTTATCGAGAGTGGTAACAGAAGCTACAGATTTTATAGCCTTTTTATGTGGCCATAGTTTTGCTTTCGCACTGGCCTTTTACGAGCGTTTTATAACTTGTTTACATTAGGCGAGTGAGCTGGAGAACACCACCCGAAATGTCACGTATCGGAAGTGCTGGGAATCATTTTATGCAAAAATCTATCAAATCGCTGGCGGGCTGCATAAAAATCGTCGTAAAGCGATTGGGCTTGACTCAGAACTTCAACAGCTGACATTGACTATATGTCAGGGAAATATATTCGAGATTGGAGAAGTGCAACGAAGCGATTTTCTAAAGCGTTTTCTGTGGCGAATCGGGGATTAAATATATTACAATTTAACTTTAAGTTCTCCAATCGATGAGATGCGGCAGGTCACTCAAACAGTGGCCATCGTAGGCCTGTTCCTGCTAACTTTTTCCAAATCTGCAAAATTGAATAACCACTCAGAAGAATCGAAAGAGATTGGAAGGATTGAAAGTAACATCGAAGCGTCAATGGGAAATATGGAAAAACATTTTGAAGAGGGCAACGGCATTGATGGAGAGCAATCCAGAGTTATCTCTAAGGCTTTCGTGAGTCAGAATCATTTATTTTAATATCTCAAACACATATTTTATTTAATATTGCCTGAATTTATTTATTGCCAGGTAAAACTTGGAGATTTTATAAAGAAAAAGACCGAGCATAATAGAAAATCAAACTCACAATGGATTCTTCTTACATATAAATAAATAAAATAAAATGTACTTTTTGTTTTATGTTGTACACCCTTTTGCTTTCTGAATATATAATTTTTCCAAGACATAAATGTTAAAATAAAGATAAAAAGAAAAGTTAGAAAGCGTTTCGAATACAAATTAAGTGCATCGAACTGATTTTACGGTAAAGAACATTAGTGGCCTTATTTATATTTATTTTAAAGCAGTTTAACGATGACAGCCCTTTTGTTAATATACTTTTGCCTTTTACTCTTAATTTCCAAACACATCCAGGGAAAGGTAAAGATCATATTGAAACAGTTCAATTAAATTTGATTTATTTAACTAATGTTCTATCCTAGTCGAGTTCAGAGGAGAACAATAGTTTCAACATCAAAACCGGCGGCAATGCCCACGTTAGATTTTCATACGAACTACCTAAAGGAAGAAGACACTCGACTTTTACTGGCAAGAAAAAAAAGGATGCCGAATATTTCCTAAATTTTGTATTTAACAACTACCGAAATCCCAAAAAGTCTCTGGACCGGAAAACCCTCTCGAAAAAAGTGAAAATGCGCCGAACTCGAACCCGATTACTGCCCAATGGAATGCCCAATCCTTATAAGTACTTTCCGCTCAAAGGCGAAGATATGTAGACATAAAACCTACTATCTGTTGATTTGTTTACTTACACAATGAACCCAAAATGTTTACTCACTGATAATAAAAATAACTTTTTACTGCTTATTCATTCACCCAAAAAAGTAACCCAAATTAGGCGACTTTGTTTTCATTTCGATAAGAAAAAGTTTAAAGAAGTGGGGAATCATAATTTGTTGTCAATGTTAACGGCTTAAAAGAAATTGTACTTGACCTTTGTAAGGGTGATAAAATCATAAGTTTGAAGTGCATTACTATAATGCAATATATATGTAGTTAAAGCATAATTAAGGTGTTTAATCAAACGCCAGACACTTTTCAGATAGCGTACCAGACCTAGGAGACATCGAATTCGATATCTAATACTATTTAGTGTACCGTTCTTTCCTGACCTCCCAGACTAGAGGAAATAATTGTCAAAAGTCGTACAGGGTTTAAAATGGATCGATCACAAAGTGGGTCTTAGATAGGAACTTTGCCCCTTAGATAAAAATGCTTTATTTTTGGTATATAAACCGAGCAAAACACGCTAATATCTTTAGTTCGATATTCAATTATGAAAAATATAGTAGTCAGTCTTTTGTTGGTAATTTGCCTAGTGGGAAAACACCAGATCAACGCTAAAAGTGTGCTGAATAGTACCTTGGTAACTTAATATATTTAATTCATTGAGAAGAGTGAAAGTAACTAGCCACCACAACTTTAGGGCAACGAAATTGGTAAGGATTCCTCCACTTTGGGTGATCAATTGGGACAAGAGATCATTCAATTTGGCCAAGCAGGCGCCCAAAGCATCTTAAATTATGGATCAGCAGCGGTGGGTAGCACAAGATAACACTAAGAACTTCTTTATAACCATAAAATATTATTTACTTATAGGAAAATGCCTCATCAGGTTGGCAACTTGGAATGGATGGCAATATTCTTGGTCACGAATTGGGAGAAGAGGGCACTTTACTAGGACAAGAGGCTTCCAACAGTGCCATTAACTTTGGACACCTACTCGCCCAGGAAGCGGTAAGTTAGAAATATTGTAATTTCATATATCATAATGGTAATAACAATTATTTAATATGTATTTTTAGGCAGCTAATGAAGAACGTCAATCTGCCAGCCAAAAAACTAAGGTAATCATTTAATTCATAATCATAAAATTATTTAATCACATAGTTTATTTTTTGTTGCTTTCAATGCTGTATATATAACATTTAAAAACCATTTTTAAATTGGACTTGGAAACCCTAAATTATCAATTACTTTATTAACTTTTGCATATTTTAGAAATCTGTTTCCAAGAGGGAAATCGTAAGTGGCTCTGAAAATCCTGCGGTTACCTGTGCTTGCACCTGCTATAATGATGGATCTATTGACAAAGCCGCAGAAAAGGTAGCAGAATCTGCCGGAAACGCAGCACATGATGTGGCCGGCGCTGCTGGAAGTGTGGCCTCGAGTGTGGCTGTTGCCGCTGGAAATGTTGCTCACGATGCTGCCGGTGCGGCCTCGAGTGTCGCTGGAAGTGCAGCGAATGCTGCTGGAAGTGCTGCAAGTGCAGCGGGAAGCGTAGCTGGAAGTGCAGTAAGTGCCGCTGGGACTGTTGCTCACGATGCTGCCAGTGCGGCCTCGAGTGTCGCAAATGCTGCTGGAAATGTGGCTGGAAGTGCAGCAAAAGCCGCTGGAAATGTGGCTGGAAGTGCAGCAAATGCCGTTGGAAATGTTGCTGGAGATGTTGCAAATGCAGCTGGAAACGTTGCCGGTGATGTTGCAAATGCAGCTGGAAATGTTGCTGGAAGCGCAGCAAATGCCGCTGGAAATGTTGCCGGAGACGCAGCAAATGCAGCTGGAAACGTTGCGGGAGATGTTGCAAATGCAGCTGGAAATATTGCACATGATGCCGGAAATGTAGCTGGAGACGTTGCAAGTGCAGCAGGAAATGTTGCCGGTGATGTTGCAAACGCTGCTGGAAATGTTGCTGGAGATGTTGCAAATGCTGCTGGAAATATTTTCCACTCCATATTTTAGAGTACTCCTGTATATTTTTACTCATTTAGGCCAATAAATGAACGAGCAATTAATAATGCGGACATTTTTTTTATTTTAAGCCCTAGCTCTCTAGATAATTCCCCGTCATTATTTGTTTTGTCTTCTGGTTTTATTTTTGTCCACCTGTTATTAGGACCCTCTTGAGACTGTCGTTTATAAGATAGTATAATATTGACGATGTCGTAAGGAATAGCCCGAAATAAAGTCAAATAACTGATCAATCAGAATCAGAATGTTGCCGACAATCAGTGGGGAATCATTAACCACTCAAGAGTGATTTGTTTTTATTGGCGGCGTCAAAGAAGTCAGTAACTCCCACACAAACCCTCAGATAAGAATGGCCTATAAATGCAGTGTGGCTACTGGAAGTGATTCAGTAAATCATTGTCTTTACGAAAAGCACTAACATGCAGTCTTCTACCATCCTAACCCTTTTTGCCATCGTCCTGGTGGCCCAAAATTCCCAAGCTGGCACCCTTAACTTTGGATCCCTAATGGGGGATGTGTCCCAAGTGGACGTCGCTGGGAAGAAGGTCATCCACCAACTGGAAAACGCTGTGGCCAGCTCCCAATCGGACTTCGTTCAGCCAACCACTCTGAATATCCTTAGCGATATGGGAAACGCTCTGGGCGATCTGGCTGTGAGATCCTTGCTAGACAATCTTAAGATTTAAGTAATATTTCCCAATATTTTAGAACGCCATCACAAGTTTGAGAGTGGAGAATGATTATATGCAACCCGAGGCCACCAACCTTTTGGGCGATGTTCTGGGTGGAGTTGGCACTGGACTTGGCGATTTGGCTGTAAGATATACTTTTAATCTATCCCTTAAAATGTATCTTACTTCTAAGTTTTCGTAGAATGCCATTACCAGTCTCAGTGTTCAAATGAAGACCGGTCCCCAGGCTCGCAGTCTTTCGGTAAGCTTTAAGTAATGAATTAATTTAAATATACCAATAAATATTTCCTCCTTTTCAGTCTGATGGCGCTTCTATCATCGCCGAAGGAGGAGTAAGTTCATCTTTAAGTTTTATACTCTACATAAATAATACTATTTAAATCCCTATTTATTTTTAGGCCGTGAGTGCCAAGACAATTGCCGCTGCTGCCGATGCCGCTGCCCCCTATATAAAGCAGCTAAATGCTGGCCTAGGTGATCTGGCCGTAAGTGATTCTTAAAAACTGTTGCTAATCTGATGAGTAATGAATTTTGTGCCCCTCGCAGAATGCCATCACCAGCCTCTGAAGAACTTTCAAGCAGTTCAATTAACAAATAAATATTCAATCGCATAAAGAGCCTAGTGAGTGCTTTCTTTGTGTTCCAATTTGGGCAGAGTTCATCAACAAGTTGGTTCTCAATTAGCTGGGTTGTTTTGAAATCTAAGAACAGTAAACAAGGTCGGGTTCCAAATCGAAAATGAGTGCATCTGCTTTTAGCTCGAGATCCCTCGATCCCCAAACGGGGGTTAGAATCAAGAATGGAAAAGGGGTCAAATGATACGTGGTGAATCGAAGTCCGGAACACGTGATTGCCAACAACATTAGGGGATCATATTTCGAAAAAAAAAAAAATTAAAATCCATCAGGAGAAGGAGGAAGCACCATGCACACATGCCGGTTTTTGAATAATTTTTATTATGACAAGTATGTGGCTTTTGTTCCTCAGAGCCTCAAGAACTAGGTCATCTCGAAGGGGAATGGAAGTTATACGGGGTTTCAGGGTTACGGGGGAAAAGGTATGAGGGTCGTCTCTCCACTCCGGAAGACATTCTCGGAGCTCGACGTCGTATGTCTTGTGTGTATTTCCCAAAGGCCCTCCATTAAGTCGCTTTATCGAGCGGCAAATTTCGATTCTTCCTCCTCCGCTTACACACACGATCTAACCCACAAGAAGGAAAAGTCGTGCCAGCTCCAAGACCTGTAATTATGAAAATTAACAATCATTTTGGTAATTAATTTCGGCAACCCTTTGGTTTTGGTCGCCTCCTGGCTTTGTAGCGCCCATAATCCCGCATCAATTAAAATTCACTGGACGTAATAATCCCCACCCACGAAACATGACTAACTGAGGTGCGTGCGACTGCTAGATAAACATTATAATATTGGGGACTGCTATTATGGGGGAACGTCTATTTTAAACACCCTTTGAAACTGTTTGATTGTAGAGTAATTTCTAAAAACATTGTATTAATATTATCTATATTGTTATAATATAATATTTTAAATAGTTCCTTTAATATATTTATAGACCATTATCTAAATACCCTGAAAGCCCTTTTCCAAATTCCGACATAATTAAATTCCCCTCTATCAAAGGGTATAATTATGATAATAGAAAACGTTTTCAACGATTTGCGACACTCTTTGTCCGTCAACGTTTGGGCCATTAATTGGCGGTTTGACAGCTGAAGACCTCAAAGCGGAATCCACGGATCGCAGTTACCATTTGTGTGGGTGTGATTCGGTAATTGAATCGCACAACTGGCTTCACTCCGATATATGGGTATGGGCATTTATATATATGGGATATGGGATATATGCGATGGTTGGGGGACTGAGAACAGAGGGGGTCTGCTGGCAGGACGGCCAATTGTGCAAATCGAGTTGGCCCGCCAACCGGTTATGGCCTGTTTCTATGTTAGTGGTCAAGGTCTAAGGAGCAGCGGACTTTCGGACGGACTGCTCCTCTGAGGAGCGGCTATATGGTATTGGCATGAATGCTGCCAAAGCGGAATAAACAATAACAGCAGGCCCGGAGAAGAGGAGCTGCAGAAGGCCAGGCGAATATGAAACCACAACGAGCGGAAAACAGAACCAAAAGGAGTCACGAGAATTGCATAAACAATGTATGTACAAAGTCTGTCAGAGTACGTACATAAATCGAGTTATATATAAAGCAGGGGGAGCGAGTCGGTTGAATGTTGTGAGGGTGTCTCAGGTTCTTTAAAAAATATATTTACTGGGTTCCTAACACTCTCAAAAGATAAATTTGAACGGACGCTCTCTTGAGCGGACAAAGCTTTAGTGCACAAAATAGTATTTAATATCTACGACTTATATAAATAGGTAGTAGAAAGTAGTAAGTGCCAAAAATGTCCTTTATTTTAGGCTTAAAAATAATATATAAATAAAGGTATCTAATTTATTAAGCATTTTTTTAGGAAAGAAATAAATACTAGTTATTTGATTTTTTTAAGCGACCCATTTTATACTAATACTAATAGTATTGAACCCACATCTAAAATATTTGAACAATAACTGAGTACATTCCATCTCTAAGATGTAAATAAATTTCTGGGCGAGCCACCGGCAACCTTGAAATGATAATCCTCCCAAGATCAAGAGTGAACCACCCTTTTTGTCGACGCAAGGGGCACGCACATGCATCATGCAACATGCAACAGCGGCGTGATTGCAATGCAGCAAAAAAAGCTGCAAATGCATCGAAGTGGCATCTAAACAGGCATATGTACGTGCCTCGTTAAAAAACTGCATTTACCCGAGGGTTTGCAATGGTGTTTGTGTGTCAAAAAGGGTTGCCAAACCACTTTTAGAGCCTTATGTACACAATATACAAAGGAGAAATCCCTATAATGAACATTTTTGCAGCCACAGAACTGGTTTTCGATTACGTCGTTGCAGCCTTTGCTCCTCCTGCCCCTTTTTTATATTGTGCAGAGTGAGAGAAGCCAAAGGTTGTCTTATCGACACTTGACCAAAACGAAAAGTAAAATCGAATCCCGGGTCTTCAAAGGAGATACGAATCTGGGATTTGGTTAACTATCGATGCGCGACCACGATCCAAAACAAAAGAAAAACCAAGTGCAGCATTAATCGCCACAATTTCAGCCTGTCAACTGTCACTCCCGAAAAATAAAACTTTCGGACCTTTGTCTGTAATTTGCGACACTTCACACGCACATCAGCAACAGCTTCATTAAAATTAATTAATGCCTAGGCACACATAGAAACGGGCACACTAAGAAAAACGTCCTTGTTCGAAAAATACTTGACTTGCAAAAAGGTTTCCTTAAATTAAATACCACTTATATCATTTAAGTTAGTCATATATTACTCACAATTAAATGTAATTCAAAAATTCAATTTATTTTAATAATAAATAATAAAAACCTCTTTAAAAAGAATTATAAAATCCATATTAAAATGCAAGTCTTAAAAAATTAATAAAATAAATAGGAGACTATAAACGTTTTAAAATACAATTAAAATGAAACTTTATAAGGGTGTTTATACAAAGTTATAATGTTATATAAATTTCAAATTAAATTTTACTAACATATTAAAGCTTGGTAAATTTTTTCTAGTGTAAAAACACCTAAAACACATCTAGGACCAAAGACGTAAAGGGTGGGGGATTCGACATCATTAAGCTCGTATCAGTTTACAATGTTTTTCCTCGCCGCGGCAGCCCAAAAATATGCACAAATTAAATTAAATGAAGTGAGTGTGAAAATGCTGCAGGTGGAAAAGGGGGCGGGGCGGGGGCTAGCCCAAATGGAAAGCCGCAAAGTGCAAACGTTAAACAACCGACGTGGCCTGGTCAAAAGGAAACACGCTCAAGTGATTTCCATGCCACCAACAGACCCCAGATATACGTACCCCACCCATGTACGTAGTCACCTGTACTTTGTGGTACCCTCGTGTCTGCCTGTTGATGGTGAATCTAGATAAGCAAATTGTTGCCGAAAAATAGAGGCACAAAGGAAGCGATTTGGACGTTTTAATGATGATAGAGCATGACACAGAATAAATGAAAATGAAGTGTGGAAAAAATTCATTTAAATTGCGGGGTAAACAGAACCCGTCAGCAGAAGTAACAGTTAGTGAAAAGAGTTTTGGGCAAATGTTCGGAGGAGTGAGTAACTCTTGATTAATGACTGCCAGGATTATTTTGGTTTACTTCACAGATAGCTCCAATGACAGGCACTTCTCTGCTTACCGGAAAACTGAATAATTCCGCCAGGAAGCGAATCAACAAGGTGGATCTGTTGATTCTTTATAGAGAAA